CTCTCTCATCAATGTTTCTAACTCTCTATCTCTCTCCCTTTCTCTCTGTGAAAAATCAATAAAATATATTTCAAAAAAAATATATATTTTTTGATTTTAGAGAGAGGGAGGGAGAATAATCGATGTGAAAGCAAAACATCAACTGGCTGCCTCCTGCATGCCCACTACTAGGTACTGAGCCTGCAAACCTGGTATGTGCCTTGGAATTGAACTGACAACCTTTTGGTACACAGGACAACACCCAACTGAGCTCCACTGGCCAGGGCTTTGAGTCATTTAAAAAAAAAACAATCGAAAGCTCTAGCAAAGCTCATCAACTGGGGCTGAATCCCCAAATCAGTATCTATAGCTTTTCTGTGGGAACATGTAGGTGAAAGCTCAGCTCCTGGCATTCTGAGGGCCTGAAGCCTTAGTCATGAAGACTTCACTTAATCCCCCTTTTGTTTGGCACCTTACCTCTGCCCTCTCTCTGATACCCTGGGGGGTGTGGGGTATAGCAGGTGGCAGTGGGAAACCTGGGGAGGGGCCAGAATGCTCTTCATAGCGTTTAATTCCATTTTCACTAATGCCCAACCTCTCTGCCTCCATGGTTCCTGGTGCTCTCAGTGGCTGAGAATTTTTAAGGATTCTTTCAGGTGAACTGGCTTGCTTTTGTCATCACTTCATCCTCTCCTACCCCCCAAACTTGGCAAAGTGACTTCTCAGCACTCTTTTATCTGGTTTCATTCTTTGTATGTTATAGTTTGGAATTATCAAGATCTCTAGCTTCATCTACAATAGAGTTAGTGTTTTTACTTTTTCTGATGACTTTTAAATGATCACAAAAGACCATCATTTAGAAACCAGTGATTTTTGTCTAGTCCAGCCATGGGCAAACTATGGCCCACACTGGATCCGGCCCGTTTGAAATGAATAAAACTAAAAAAAAAAAAAAAGACTGTAACCTTTTATGTAATGATGTTTACTTTGAATTTATATTAGTTCACACAAACACTCCATCCATGCTTTTGTTCCGGCCCTCCGGCCCAGTTTAAGAACCCATTGTGGCCCTCGAGTCAAAAAGTTTGCCCACCCCTGGTCTAGTCCTTTGCCTGTGAAGAGCCAACTTTGTAGGAACAGGGTGTAACAGCTGCATACCTGGCTACACTGTCAGCTGCTTCCAGGTGATGGCCATATTATGCTCATGAGCCCTAATGAGCAGGACTTAGAACCTTTTTTGCTTTCTTTGCTAGGTATTTTCTATAAAACCCATTTCTTTCTGGTTTCTGTCAGTCACTCTCTCCTCCTACTAGTAATTGTATTCCTGCTGATGTGACCCATTTATTGAAGTTTTTGTCACTTCTAGGTTCCATGTCACATCCCTTTCACCCCAGCCAATTTAGGTGACATGGAACCTAAAGTAGTTCACACGGAACTTTGTTTCGTATCCACTTTCCAAGACCTGCTCACTCTATTTCACTCTATGGGAAAGTAGCCATTATCCAGGCCTACTTTCCTGTTCTAGGTTTGCTTATTGTTCCCACTACAAACTCCTTGAAAGTGAGGTTGTCCCATTGACAGCCCCTCAACCTTTTGACTTTTCCCTTCCTGTTTTACTGGTCCTTTGAGTACCTCAACTACATCCTTTTGTTCCACCAATCTAGCAAAACATCAACTGTGGATTAAGTATGATTCAATTTCTGTGCTTATTTCATTTATTGCTGATTTAAGAGCTAGATTACTTGTCTGATGAGAAGCACTATATCTTATTCACTGTACTTAATTCCAGTACTTGGCATATGTAAGTACCTTATTGAATGCCAAATAGTACTTCACAGGAGTGCTGAATACATTGTAGAATGGATATATTTGGTAAGGCATGGGAGATCACCAGAAAAGGTCAAGTGCTAGATGGGTGAGTACTGTTAGCATCAGCACACAGGAGTGGCACTGGTCTTTAAGAGGATCAGAAGGCATAAGCTTGTATCACTTGATTATCATCTGAATTCCTTATATGTGACCTCAAATTATGCAATTATTTTTTACAGGCAACAAACAGACATTTTCCACAAACGGTTACAGGGGCATATTTGAGTGGTGTTCGAGAAGCAAGCAAGATTGCGGCATTTTAAATGGATTTTGTCTGGACCCAGCTTTCTTCTGTACCTCAAATGGGAAAGTTTGAAACACGTTAACCTCACTTTCATAAAATCAAACAAAAACCTCTCTGGATAACAGAACTGAAAATGTTTCTAAGGTGGTTTGATAATGTAAACCCATGTCACCACTCTGAAAGCATTAGCCCTAAGAACCAATTTATAAGCACTTATATTTTATTACATTTTCCACAAGTCTAATGCTAAATCTTCTGGATTTCAGAAAAAGGTAGAATATAAGCTTAAATTAAGACCTCTTTTATCTGCTTTCATTCTTTGGATATGATTCTTCCATGGTTGGAGAGTCCCTTAAATTTGACTTTTTGTTTAGCTGATCAATTTTCACAAATTGAGAAATCAAGCAGAAATCATTAAAAAGAAATAGAGCCATGTATTTTTCTTCTATGACAACTTATCACTACCTTTGCCAATGAGCCTTAAGATTTTTGTATAGCTCCAATATTGAGCTTTCAGTTAAAATTTAGATAGAAATCTTTCCTTTTTGGATACAGCACAAATTCTTCAAAAGTAATGAAGCTTCTAGACTACTTTATATTATACTTCCCATTGGGTTTTCAAAAGAAATTTAAATTCAGGTGTCTTTTGTGATAAAAGATTTTAGATTTGTGCACTCATTGGCAAAAGAGCAAAATTTTCCATTCTTAAGCAGTACCAGGTTTGTACCATTGAAAATGGGGTAGAGATAGTGTGGTCTTCATACTAGACATAAACTATAGGGCTATTTTTCTTTGAGCCAAGTTTGGGCAGATGGCACACCTAAATAGCCTTAATTTTGGCAACTACTAGCAAAAATATCTTGTCAGAATAATAGCCTCTTCGCACTGTCTTTTTTATAGAATTATGTTTTCAGTATTCCATAGGCAGGTCCACTGGAAAACTGAAGGAAAATGTGAAGTCCTGGTAAATATTACATATTTTATAAGCCATATCGTAAGAGCCTGAGAACATGGCAAATACTTCCTTTCTCCTTTTTTCACTCATGACCAAAAAAATGTCATTAAAAATAGACATTGGTTTCAGGGTCTAAAGGATGCTTAACTTGCCAAGAAATTTCAGTTTACAGGTAAAATCATGGATAACAAGTTCTTTTGTTTTAAAGTCTCTGAACAGGTTTTTCAATTATATTGGTCTGCTTTAAAAAAGGACTCAAAAACAAAGGGGATGCAAAATGATTTTAAAGCCACTTTTCAAAATATTAGGTATTTTTAAAATTTAGAGTCAGCTTATAAATACAAAGTATCATATGCAAAGAATGTATGGTATCTTTGGTGAACTCAGACACACTTCCACTCCCAATAAAGGATATTAGTTTCTATGTTAACACAGGGAAATGTTGATATTTATCTGATGAGACTCGGTACTATTTGGGGAGTGTTCTACTTTAAAGTTAAACATTTAAAGAATAGCATGTGTTAAGTGATAAATGCAAAATATTTTACGTTTGAAATGGTTCACAGTAAATTATTACTTTAGTCTCTGGGCACTTAAACTTGTGCTACAAAGGAAAAACCTACATAATAAAGTATGGTAAATGTATATAAAAAAAATCCTCATTTCTTGTCTCAAGTGTCTACATCTGACGTCAATTTTGTTCTTTAAGGTACTTTCCTTTAAATTCTTGAGTTACTCTGAATATGTTTTTCATTGTTCTGAAGATTCTGTATTTGAGTAGCTGTGAATATGTTTTAACTGCAGATTGTGAACAGCTTGTTGTGTAAAACTACTTAATAAAAACTAGACTTTTTCAAATACACTTTGCATTGTAGTAATGAAAACACACTTTATTAAATAGTTACATTTTCATCCCGAACTTTACACCCACCAACTCAATCCCTTCACCTCCAAACTCTGTGTAGACCTTTTAGATCATAGGTATTACTCTATATCCCCTTTCAATTAAATGGTCATCAAGTAAACAACTATTAACCTTGATCAACTTACTTTTGTAAATCATTTTTGGTTTTTCCAGGTGATTTCTTTGTAGTGTACTTAGTTAATCACTGCACAACACTCTAAATTACATAGGCTATAATTTAAGTGATAAATGCAAAATATTTTGCATTTGAAATGGCTCACAGTAAATTATTACTTTAGTCTCTGGGCACTTAAACTTGTGCTACAAAGGAAAAACCTACTTAATATTAAGTATGGCAAATGTATATACTTTTTAAAATCCTCATTACTTGCCTCCAGGGCTAAATCCATTTAAACACCCATGTTCTGAAATTCTCATATAGTGGGTAAATGCTATAAAAACCTCTAAGTTAAGATATCAAATGTGAGAGACAAAATCATTGTTCATTACTTTTATTGACAACTAGAGGCCTGGTGCACAAAATTCATGCACTGGGGGGTGGGGAGGGGGGGGTTGTCCCTCAGCCCAGCCTGCACCCTCTCCAAGTTGGGATCCCTCTCACAATCCTGGACTGCTGGCTCCCAACCACTCGCCTGCCTGCCTGCCTGATTGCCCCCTAACCTCTCCCCTGCCAGCCTGATTGACACCTAACTGCTCTCCCCTGCTGGCCCGATCACCCCCAACTGCCCTCCCCTGCTGGCCTGGTCCCCGCCAACTGCCCTCCCCTGCCAGCCTGGTCACCCCTAACTACCCTCTCCTGCTGGCCATCTTGTGGCTGTGGGCGCCGCCATCTTTGAGCGTGTGGCAGTCATTTAGCATATTTCCTCATTGGCTGTGGGCGCCACCATTTTGCAGCCTGCTGCTCAGTGGTTTGGTCATCCCTCACCCCCCTGCCAGCCTGGTCGCCCCACACAGCCTGTTCGGTCGTGATGGTAGCTTAGGCTTTTAGGAACAAATTATATTTAAAATCAAAGGCCAATTCGTAGGACTTAGTTTATTTCATTCGTTTATTAAGTGTATCTTTTCCTAACATCTTAACAACTTTATCAAGAAACAAATCAAAATTGTGAAAATACCTGTTAACAATCAACAGATGTTTACATATTTCTGTTCTATGATGCAAAGATATTTTTATTTTAAATACTCAACTGGTTTATCAAAAGGCCTAATTCTCTCAAGCAGCATGTTTTAAAATTCAGAAATTAATTAATAAACTGATTAAGACAGTCAATTTAAAAGACAAATTAGTTTCATTCAGGGGTGGCCCATATGTTGAATCACCTAGAATCCTGATTAGCCAAAATTTAAAACCCAATAGTTATAATACTACAGACACATTAAATTTCTTTAATGTTAAAAATAAGTCTTACCATTTTTGAGAAATACTTTGTCAGAGATACTATTGCCTACACAATTCTGGCATTACACCTTGTACTTTTTGTCATAATTATAAAGGTCCAGGTTTCCTGTAAATATCAGCATTTTATATGGGCAAAAGCAGTTAATAAAAAAATCAGTCATTTATTATAAGCCAAATATTCTTGGACTTAATCCCAATTTTCCCTAAATTTTTGAAGTTCAGTTGATTTTGGTCTATCCTTAATAGAAAATGTGTCTACAGACAATGGTTGCAGAATTGACACTAAAACTACAAATCGATGACACTTTCAAAGTAGAGAACTATCTGTTCGTGTCCTTCAGTGTTTTCATTACTGAATTCTGACTTCCACTGCTCTGTAATACCATCTGGCTGAACACTGACATTTCAGTTTATAACTGTAAAGATACCTATCTATATGGGTTAAAAATTGATCTCACAAAAGAAATAAAAAAACTATATACAACCAATTTGTTTTTGAAAATACAAAAATAACATCTGTCACTTTCGTCATGCTGACAAATTGACATATCTATACATGCAGGAGAAAAGTTCCAATTTAGTCATCTGGACAGCTAAAGCTTGTACATTCTTAATATGATGAACACACTGCCATTGAGTTTTTACACCGACAAATGTGCTGTATTCAAAATATGTCATATACTAAATACTGCATTGGTTTCTGCATGTATAAATGCCAGTTATAATAGTTTCTGTCCTAGTCAATTAAAAATGTCTTAAGCTAATATTAACTGCACTAAAAACTATTACAGTTTAAGAATCTATGACCTTATATAAAGAAATCCAAAATGTACAAAATGCAACTATAAAAGCAAGGAACAATTACTGCCATGCAAAATTTTAAACTAAAAACTGCATAGAAATGCAATTTAAAAAATGGCAAATGCAAATTTACGTTAACACCCAAGATAAAAAAGTCAGCAGTAAATTCTACCAACACAATGCTTGCAAGGATTTAGAAAAGGAAATACATTCTCTTTGCTGGTATAATGGTATAAATGAAATCTTTAAATCCATGGAACAAGTCATCTGTCTCTGTCCTCTATCTCAAGAAATTAGCTGTAATGAAAAGAGAAACATTATTTTCCCATACCAAACATACAATATTAGGTATACATGAGGCATAAAACTTTATTTCATTTTTAAACTTTATTTTACTATTGTGACCTTGGGAAATCAGTTGGGATCCATAAAAACTATAGCTATTGTTGGTTTTCTCCTGCCTTTGACTGGTGCACAGAAACATGTGCTCAAGTAGTTGTGTGAGTGCTCTGAGATGCCCAGTAGACAGAACCTGTATCGTCCTCATCCAAGGTCAGGTGTTGTCACTAATGTGCAGGCTTTATTTTTTAAGCTCTAAAATGGGAATAAAAAGAAATATCTTTCCCCATCTATTTTGAGGAAATTTGAGGATCAAATGTGTTATTGAGTCAGATAGTTTGAAAAATATGCAATTCTGATATACATTTCTTTGTCTCTTATGTCGCAAATGATCAAAGTTAGAAACAGTGAATATATTTACCTCTTTAACAGTTGTTTTTATGAAACCTTTTCTTTCAGTTAAATCATAAGCAGGGTAATTTTCATATACCTGTGGTGAAAAGGAAAAACTATGTTAAAAATCCAATAATGCTCTATCTTCGGACAAAAAAGAAATGTATATATAAATAGCTGCATGTATGTTCTAATAGTACTCTGGTTCACTAGAGAATTCCCTTGCAAATGAGTTTTAATAATACTCTATATATAGAGAGAAAATAAAGTAGCATGCAAGGACTCTGTTTTAAACTGGAAATATCAGTTGCATTAACAATAAACATAGGTGAGGAAAACATCTAGGTAGAACTGAATTCTTTATTTTGGCAGGTGAGATATTCTTCAGAGATATTCTCATTTTCTTCTGTTATATCATCCAATTACTTATAATTCAACTTGAACTCTAGTGTACTTTATTCATTGTGCAATCCCCTCCTCAAAGCTGAATCACTCAGACCCGGCGGGTCTTAGGAGTCCTCTACTCCTAAAATCTTACTCTAAATTTCCCTTTTATCAACCCGACTAGAGGCCCAACGCACGAAATCGTGTGCGGGTAGGGTCCCTAGGCCTAGCCTGCGATCAGGGCCATTTTCTGCCCACTGGCCAGTCCCCAGTCCCACCCCACCGCTGCCCAACCCGGTTACCCATTTGCCATCAGGCGATCAGAGCCTGTGGGCCAGCGGGGAGGGATGGAGAGGTGGTCAATGCACCTCATAGCGACTGGTTGATAGGTCGTTCTGGTTGTTACACCGTTATGGTCACTGGCCTTTTATTATATAGGATACCGGCTGCTTGACTTTACAATGACTTCTAGTCCTGACTCCATATGCACCCTGCCAGCTTTACTCCTGTGGTGCAGTTCAAGGTCAGCACACTTTTCTTTAAAGGACCAGATTCATAAATTTTTTCAGCTTTTCCAGCAATACATTTTCTGTCATATCAACTATGTCAGTGGTTCTCAACCTTCCTAATGCTGCGACCTTCTAATACAGTTTCTCATGTTGTGGTAACCCCCAACCATAAAATTATTTTCGTTGCTACTTCTTAACTGTAATTTTGCTACTGTTATGAATCGTAATGTAAATATCTGATATGCAGGATGTATTTAGGCGACCCCTGTGAAAGGGTCGTTCGACCCCCAAAGGGGTTGCGACCCACAGGTTGAGAACCGCTGAACTATGTCATTGCAGTGTGAAAGCTGCCATAGGCAATAATACTTAAATGAATGGGCATGGCTGGGTTACAATACAAAAACAGTAAGATGGAATTGGCCCACAAGCTAGTTTGCCAGTCCCTGAAAATATAGTCAATCATTTACACTCCTGTCTTTTGTTCATTCTCTACAAACCTCCAAACCTGAACTGGTCTACCAACTTTTCTATGGTTAGGCCCAGAGAAAAGATTGCTGTGGGGACATGTAACCACTTTGAAGACTGATCCTGTTTAACTATTAAGTCCATGGTATTCAATGTCAGAGCCTCCCCAGCAATCCCAAGTATTTCTAAGCAGTTCCTTTCATTCCTCCTGTCAATGGCAATTTCATCCACTTACACAAGTGTCCCACATTCCTGTTCTCAGCCAAGTAGTATTACAAATTTTTCAACTTTCTGACATACCTCTTTCCCTCCAGTTTATCCGTGTCTAGGTTCAACTCGCCATTTCCTGTCCCTCTGCAGACAGCCATCCCTCCTCTCCTAAGTCTTCAGCTGCTTCATTCCCAGCAGTCTAACACATGCTTGCACTTTCTCTCCCTGACTTTAGTATTTTACTAACTTGCATCCACTTCCCTCATCTATTTCCCTCCTTAGGCAAGCTGCTTCAAACAGAAGCTTAAATTCATTCACTTTCCTCATTATTCATTTACCACCCATTTAAATTGCTCTTATGTGAACAATTACCTCCTAATTGTCCAGTCCAGTCCAAAAAACCCTCAAGTCCTCCTCACTTGACCTCTCCATAGTAATGATCCCTGTTTAAAATTACATGAATGTGCTCAAAAAACAAACATTCAAAGGGACAAAACTAGTTTCCCTCTACTCTGCCCTCATCCCTCCTCTCCTCAGAGGAAACCAGTTATCAGTTTGCTGTGTATTCTTCCAGATCTTCCTTGAAAAATGAGTTTATACACAAATGTACACAATGGCAATATAGTCTTTCTGCATTTAGATAAATGGGATAGTATTCTATGTTTTAAAATGTTGACAATACCTGAAAAATTTTTCCATGTTCTTTTCAACTGCTACAAAGTATTCCAAAAATATGGATGTGGTTACCAATTTAATAATTTCCCTATGGAAGGCCATTTACGTGGTTTCTGACTTTTCAGTATTAGACATGTTGAACATTATTGTAATCATTTTGTGCAGATGTGACTAAATCTTTAGGATAGACACCTAGAAATGGAATTGCTAGGTTAAAGGGTATTTGCAATTTAAATTTTAAGATAATACCTAATTGTTCTCCAAAGCGTTTACATCTTAAAGCATAAGAAAATGTTTCCCTTTATCCTTGCCAACCATGAAAACTTTTATTCTTCATAAATATTTTGTCAAGCTAATAAACAAAAGTATTCCCTTTTAATTTCTATCTTCATTAGTTTAGGGAAGGCTATGCATGTTTTCATTTGTTTGAAGGACATGTTTGCTTTTCCATACCCACTGCCCCATGACTCCTTTTTCTTAACTGGCACTACTCCTCGCCCTTGAAAATGTTTCCTCTTGGCTTTCATAGCACCACTCTCCGGCCTTGCCTCTACTACTAACTCTATAGTTTCTTATATGTGGAAATTACCTCTCCAGGACTCTGTCCTTTGCGTTTCTCACCCTTCGTCTTCTTCTGTGGGCAGCCGATCTATATTTCTGGCTTTAACTCGCAGCAATATCCTAGACTAGGTTTCTCTCCTAATTTGGAGAACTACAATGTTCAGAATTTCTCTCACTTTAATGTTCTAAGCACCCCCATCTTAAAATGTCTAGAACAAAACTCATCTTTTCTCAAAAAGTATACCTTTTATTCTGTTCCCTAATGCACCCAATTCTTATCCTACTTTTGACCAGGCTGTCTTGATATCTGACTTGGATTGTGCCAACCCAATTACTTTGACTATGACATGAACTGGGTTTCTTGTCTCTCATGTTATTTTCACCAGTCTGTCCTTGATGTGTCTGGGATAACTATTAAAAAATAAAACCTGATTGAGTTACGACCCTCCCAAATAGCTCTCAATAACCTACCCAACCTCCTAATTCCCTATTAGTTTCAGGAAGAAAACCAAACTCTGTAACATGGCATACTCAGGAACTGAAAAACTAGTATTTTCTAACCTGCGACTTACTGCCAACTCTAGTCTTCAGACAAATTAAACTAATCACTATTCTTCCTTCAGTCATTATTTGTCACATTTTGTGAATGTGTCAATGTTCCTCAACTGTATGGGACAGCTAATCCTCTAACATCTCTTCCAAGGTGCTTTTCCAGAATTCCACAACCCCCTCCCTCTCAATCCCAAGTTGGATAGTGCTGTAGCACTTTTTTCACTCTTCCAACAGAACCCTCAAACATCTATAATAATAAAAATGTAATATGCTAATTAGACCGGACAGCCAAATGACCTTCCGGAGGAAGTTGGGGCTGCAAGGGCTGAGGGAAGCCGCAGCAGCTGCGAGGGCCGAGCCCCTTGCACGAATTTTGTGCATTGGGCCTCTAGCTGTACTCTAATTACTAAAACGGATGTCTTTCAATTCCACTGGACTTGAAAGTGAAATGATAGCTCCCTAAAGCAAAGTAATGTCTTCTCGAGCTCTACCTCTAACATTTATCCCAGGACCTGATATGTAGTAGAGACTCAGTGAGTACTGAACGAATAAATTAAAAAATGATAAATGACTTTAGAAGGTATAGAATATTTCACAATTGATACATTTCAAATTTCAATTTCATTTTACTGTAAGAAACCAAATTCTAAAATTTCCCAATATTGAGGTAGAATACGGAATCATACTCAAGACTTGATCATTTTATTCCTGAGAAGTATCAGAATGTCACAGAAGTCTGAGCTAAGTACCTAATCTATAACAACTCTTTATCATAGTAACACTGACTGAAAATCAGGTGGGCCATAGAATTTTGCTTTGTAAAACTAACATAATCTAAAGATGCATCAATAAAAAGTTTCCAGATCAGGAAAAGATAGCTTCCTATGCAGTTTGGAATGTAGCACTTTATTCACTGTGTACATTTTACTGTTATTTATGAAACAACTCCAAAGAGCAGAGGCTTTGACTTACTGTATTTAATGTGGTTATCCCAGACCTGTAAACAGAGTGCCTGGCATGTAGTAGTTCAACAGTATGTGTTCAATGAATGAATGAATGCATATAAGAATCTGGCTTCGAACTGAATAATGGGTGAAAGAATTTTTCGAATAAAAGCAAACATATCCAAGCACCTGTTCAATTACCTTTTTGCAAATCTGTTTCATTGTAACTTCCTCCAAGTTAGCACTGGCCAATAATTTCTTTACTGTTTCCTTTAATTCTTCATCTGTAGGAGGTTTCTTCAGTTTTTTAATTAAAGGTTCATCATCTGAACTATCCTCAGATTCACTTTCTAAAAGTAAGACATTATATGTGAATAAAATTTTTCTTACATAGTAAATTACCATTCAACATATATTGGGAAAAATTCTATAAGCAGTCATCAGATTCTCAAAGGGATCCTAGATTTAAAAAGTTATAAATCACCTCTACAAATTACTTATAAAACATACAAATGTCCATTTTGAAAAATTATAAACAATAAAAAGCTGGTGTACTACTTCCTCCCCAATGTTCTTCTGAGTTTAACTATTTTCTAAACACTTACAAAGAACGTTACGGCATGTATGTTATATCTTTAAAGTTGCTGAATATGTATAATTTCTAACATACCTTTTTTGGAACTGTTTTGATTCTTCTTGGTGGTGCTGCTATCTGCCTTTTTCACATTAGCATTCTTTACAGATTTTTTACTTTTAGAAGTGGCTTTCTGTTTAGGTTTTTCTTTTTTAGATGTCTTTTTTGGTGGCTGTTGTAAAGGAAAGCAAAGTATACACATTGATGAGATTAAATGTCATCTCTCTCTACTCCTCTTTAGCCATCAACATTAGAGAAAATTAATGTTTTCAGTATCACCAATAATAAAGTATTACTAATTAATATTTGAGATGACTAATATGCCTAACAAATTTAATTTTATGCCAAATAAGACTAGTCATGGGAAGTCAAAATCAAACACTAAAAATGATAGATGCCCACATTTATTCCACATTATTAGAGAGGAAACTTTATGTGCATTAATTACCTCACATGATCCTGAAAAACTCTAATACAGGTTACTATTAATATGCCGTTATTTACTGTCAGTCTCTCTCAATTCATATGTAAATTCCATAAGGACAGGGATTGTTTTGACCGTGTTCATCTATGTATCCCCTCACTCCTAAAATAGTGCATGGTGCACAGTAGTTGCTAAGTAACTATTTATGAATATACTAGAGGCCCGGTGCACAAAAATTTGTGCACTCAGGTGGGTCCCTCAGCCCTGTCTGTGCCCTCTCGCAGTCTGGGACCTCTCGGGGGATGTCCACCTCGGGGGATGTCCCCGGGGGGATCGGGCCTAAGCTGCAGTTGCACATCCTTAGCGCTGCTGAGGAGGCAGGAGAGGCTCCCGCTACCACTGCTGTGCTGGCAGCTGGCAGCCTTGCTTGTGGCTGAGCAGAGCTCCCCCTGTGGGAGTGCACTGACCACCAGGGGGGCAGCTCCTGCATTGAGTGTCTGCCCCCTGGTGGTCAGTGTGTGTCATAGTGACCAGTCATTCCCAGTCGTTCTGCTGTCAGGGTTAATTTGCATATTACCCTTTTATTATATAGAATGAGGAAACTAAAGCTCAGAGAGGTTGTTTTTGTCCACAGTCACATAACTAATAGAATGAGATTCAAATAAGTCTGACTTCAGAAGCTGTTTTCTTAAATACTAACTCATAGTTGATAAGACAAAAGCAAAGAATATGTGGATAAATTAAAATGACAATATTGATTTATAGTTACTTTGTCTCAACCAGGGTCTATGAAATTAGAAAACATGAATTCCCCAATGAATTAACATTTCCAAAGGAATAATTGTATATAAGCAAATATTCCAAGATAACTTAAAAATCTGATCTTTATATACCAAAAATACTGCAAATCACGTTTCTGCAAATGTTTTACACTCAATTTCTGATCATCATTATAATTCAATCTGTTCCTTTAAGGGCAGAGACACTATGTTGAATTTATCCTTAAGGAAAATTAAAGTGTATAGAGCAACCTATTACAAAAATTAAGTAGGCTCAGAGGCAATTTCTAAGTGCAATTCATTGGATTTTAGTGTTTATCTTTTCTCTTGCTCTGCTGCCATCACTGTACATATTTACTTAAGCCTAATTTCACCTTGAATTAACTCAGTAATACTGTCAGCTGGGAACCACTAAAAAATGCACTTCAGAGGTGTCAAGGAGCTGACATACTTCTAAAAGTAAAGTATATGAGTTTTTCTATGGATTTTTGCTATTTAGAGTCATTTTTACTTATTTCCTAATTCTCAGAGGTGTTTTAGATAGTAGGGGTTGCTCAAAAGTCATTAATGGTTCACCACAAATTTCTGTAATTAACGTAAATTAAGTTTTAAGTTTATTAAGCATCCACATAATTCATAAGAACCACAATAGGGCCTGAAAAGGAATACTAAAAATTCCTAAGTTCTGTTGATGCACTTAATACATAGAATAAAATCATCACTATTAAATATCCCTCTTTAGTCAGAGGGTAATAAAATCTGGACCTGTAACACATTCAAATATTTTACAAGAAACTAAGTTATTATTATAGAAAGGGTTGGAGAGGGCAAGTAAGGGGAAACAATGTTATAAACATTATTATTTTATCCTCAAATTAGATAATTTAAGGCTGTCATTAAAATTTTTAAAGGCACACACAGTATGGCACCATTTTAAAACCTGCAGGTTGGGAGTAATAGTTTAAAATTTGCAGTGATAAAGGATAATCAAACCATCTTCATAAAATTACTATGGTACAGACAATTAAAACTATGCTTCATTCTATATTTAATATCACCTAGAAGAAATAGTGTTCTACAGTTTTTTAAATAGACAATTAGTCTTTTACCTATTAACAAACAGATTGCAAAAATACTATAGAGGTACAAAATAATAGGCAAGAGTGTAGGATCTGGAGGCAAGCTTCCTGGTTTCAAATTCTAGCCCCAGCACATCTCTAGGCCCTGGTTTCCTCATTTACAAAACAAGGGAAATAATAGTAATTATGGTTTCATGGACAGTAAATGCATTAATACATGAAAGTACTTTAATGGTGTCCTGCATATAGAAAACACTTAATAAATATTAGATATTATTACTATTTTAAGTGTTTCTTTTTGTAAAATTCTTTCATTATGCAAATGTAATTTCCTACAAAAACTTGAAATGCATGCTTTCTTTAAAGGCAAGGCAGCCCTGACCGGTTTGGCTCAGTGGATAGAGCAGGGGTGGGCAAACTTTTGACTCGAGGGCCACAATGGGTTCTTAAACAGGACTGGAGGGCCGGAACAAAAGCATGGAGGGAGTGTTTGTGTGAACTAATATAAATTCAAAGTAAACATCATTACATAAAAGGGTACGGTCTTTTTTTTCAATAGTTTTATTCATTTCAAACGGGCCGGTTCCGGCCTGCGGGCCGTAGTTTGCCCACGGGTGGGATAGAGTGTCGGCCTGCAGACTGAAGGGTCCCGGGTTCGATTCCAGTCAAGGGCATGTACCTTGGTTGCGGGCATATCCCCAGTGGGGGGTGTGCAGGAGGCAGCTGATCGATGTTCCTCTCTCATCGATGTTTCTAACTCTCTATCCCTCTCCCTTCCTCGCTGTAAAAAATCAATAAAATATATTTAAAAAAAAATAAAAGCAAGGCAGATATATATATAATAGATACATAGAATAAAAAGCAGTTAGATAGACTCAATGACACTTTTATTAACTAGCCAGGATGCATCATGTTTATTTCATTACGTTCTGATAAGATTGGACACACCATCCAAATTGTTATTTATATTGAATTTCATTTATCTTCAAAAACCAGTTACAAATTATTCTGTGACAAATTAAAGGTATGAATTCAGTAAAGTATCATTTTTTAGACTGATAAAGGTTAGCATGGTAAAGTGCAAAAGCTAGAGAGTAAAATAACTAAACTGTGTAGATATGCATACCTCAAGGTTTCATTTCAAGCTGAGAGAGGCAGTCAAGTAACTCATTAACTCACATCTTGTGCTTTGGTCTTATAGGTTTTAAAAAAACCACACCAGCCGCTCTGAAGATAAGTTATTAGGTATAGGCCGTATAGAGAATTTTTGGCAGGTAAGGCAAATACAGGTTACCTGAAATTTTGGAGGTAATGGAAAGAGGCCCTGGGAGACCTGAGAAGGAAAGTGAAACCATGCCCACTTAAAATTTGCATGAACTTCCAAATCACCACTACTTTCATTTCTCCTCCTCTACTTAGACTGCACTCATGGTTCTAAATCCAACTCAATAATCAATCACTTCCTCTAAATCTTTCATAATACCACCCATTTGATTAATCCATAGTCCCATAGTACTTGGCCTATATGTAATTCATTTATACCTTCTTCATGGAAGGATTATGAAGCAGTGAATAAGAACACAGGTTTTAGAGCTAAACTTCCTGGTTCAAGTCCTGACTCCACCAGTGATTAATTTTGCATTCTCAGGCAAATAACCCTTCCTTCCCTGTGCCTGTTTCCTCATCTGTAAAATAAAGGTAATACCAGACAAGGCTAAATGTAACACTCTTTTTCACATTTGTGTATCTCTGATATTGGGGTACATTTTATAATTTACACTAAAATGATGCCTTATAGGCATTATAGATTTGATGACCTATGGCCACCGTGTAAAATTTCTGTGAGGATCAAATACATAAATACACATAAGGCAGCAAAAAAAAAATAAGCATTTAATGTATACATTTTTATTAAACTGCAGTTATTTACATAGTTTCCCCACTACGAGTTTAAGGATAGATCTGACAATCTCCTTCATAACAGACACCCATCTATTTATTTCAGTGATGGCGAACCTTTTGAGCTCAGTGTGTCATCATTTTGAAAAACCCTAACTTAACTCTGGTGCTGTGTCACATATAGAAATTTTTTGATATTTGCAACCATAGTAAAACAAAGACTTATATTTTTGATATTTATTTTATATATTTAAATGCCATTTAACAAAGAAAAATCAACCAAAGAAATGAGTTCGCGTCACCTCTGACACACGTGTCATAGGTTCGCCATCACTGATCTATTTAGTCCTCTGTGTCCCTAGCAACTACAAGTGTTTGGCATAAAGTAGCCACTTAAATATTTCTTGTCATGTTCACTTCTGTATCATTCATAGGGTCAAGGTTTACTCTGAACCCAGGATGTGGTTAAAAATATAATTAAAAGGTGCTGTGGCCATGTTGCTCAGTGGTTAGAGTGCCAGACCGTCAGAGGGTTTTGGGTTCAATTCCTGGTCAAGGGCACGTATATATGTCCCTTAATGCATGTCATAGCGACAGGTAGGACAGACACTTAGCATCTAGTAGGTCCTCGGGTTACGTCGGAGATCTGTTCCTACTGTGCAATGTAATGCGATTTTCGCCGTAAGTTGGAACCCACCTACATAAGCACCTACATCACTCACATGGAGCACATACACAGCAATAATGAAGTGAAACAGTAAAAAAATTTAAAAGAGATGTAACAATTCCTGACCTTTATTTGTGGTAAATAAATAATAAAAAACATAAAGCACATATGCATATACGTCAAAATGACGGAACTTTTTTTTTTTTATACTGCAAATGGGAGATGGTGATGTAACCACAAAAGGACGTACATCAAGTCCGACATAACCCGAGGACTGCCTGTATTAGCCTTTTATATATATAATTATCCAAGTCATTCTGAGAAAGAGCACCTTATTTGAGTTAATTCCAAAGAAACAGAGAATTAAAAACTGTTGTGAACCACTCACGGAATATCATAGAAACAGAGGTACAGGTATAGAGAACCTTGAACACAATGTCTTACCAATTACTAGCTAACATGCTAATGTGACATATTTTCTTATAAAAGACTTTTAAAAAAACAAGAACAGCCCTAGTCAGTGAGGCTTAGTTAGTGGAGCATCACACCATGCACTGAAAGGCTGCTGGTTCAATTTCCAGTCAGGGCACATACTCGAATTGTGGGCTTGATCCCTAAGTAAGGAGCATGCAGGAGACAGCCGATCGATGTTCCACTGTCACATCAATGTTTCTCTTTCTCCTTCCCTCCCTCCCTCTCTAGAAATCAATGAAAAATCTTTTAAAAAATAAGAGAAAATGTATCCTCAGATGAGGATTTAAAAAACCCAACAAATTAACCTTCATAATTTACTCCAAGAATCTAAAATAGAACATGCAACTGATCTTAGTAAGGAGAAGCCTTTATTTATGAAAAATTCACTCCAGAAAATAAACAGAGTAAGTAATATTAACTTAGTAATTTTCTATGAAAAAAATCTGCAAAAAATTCCATCTATAGGCAATCAACCATTTTTCCAATCAACTGAAACTCTTCTTTATGGCCTCTTAGAAAAGAGGTCCTTCCTTTCATGGTACTGACCAAAAATACCTCCATTTATGAAGTCTCTGACAAGGTGGCCTTTAACCAAGTCATCAAAAAATGGAATAAAGAAAACCATTTATCACAGAAATATTGTTCCTCCTGCTAGCACTTACCTTGCAAAGCAATCAGAACTTTTCATAGAAATGGAATCAGCAGTAAAGTTTTTGAGGAGATAGCCCTAAATTTGAAAGTCTTTAGAGCAATAAAGAATTCTATGCTTATTAGATTTAGCCCCATCATATCTCAATCCAGGTTTTGTTGGCATTGTATTTCATGAAGTCTGCTTGTATCAGCCCAAGCAGAAAAACTGAAGCAGAAAATAGGCATAATGATACAACTTTTATATTATGTAACTTTATATATTTAATGTCCATAAAAGCATTCTTCAGGTTGCCTTTTTCCTCCAGGTATTTTCATCAGTTGACCTGGGTTTCTAGTTTCACTTGTGATCATTATCCAGTAATCAATATGGTTATAAACCAAGAGTACTCTATATTCACAGACTTCAACTGATTCTACTTAAAACAATGAAACAATTGGGAAAGCAAATGAGAAAATTAATAACCTTTCTAAATACAATCTTCCTGTACTTTAGTAATGACAGGAAGACTGGATTTAGAAATCCTAAAGGTCAGCTTACTACTACTACTAATAGCAGCTAATACTTAGACAGTACTTGTGCCAAGCACTGCTCTAAGTGCTTTATATAAAATCATTTATTACAACCCTTTGAGGCTGCTACTATTATTATCCCCATTTTACAGAAGGGAATCAGATGTTACAGAGTTTAAGTAACTTGCCCAAAGTCATACAGTGGTACAGCTGGGATTTGAACCCAGATAGTTTCCAAAGCCCATGTTCATAATCATAGTGCCTCTACAAAAAAAAATCAGATGTGTATAGTCTATGACAACTTTTCATGCTTTAACTCTGCCTTTAAAAAGGTTTTAGGGGAAGCACAGTGAATACACACAGTAGATAACCAAAAATTTGTGTGAATGAGGAATAACACTATTACTGCAAAATTGGCATTATTGCATATTCACATATAAACAAACATTTTTCTCCCATATTTTCCTAAAATCAATTATAAAAAACCTTAATGCTCAGATTACTCATCTTGCTTTACACCAAAAATATATTAAGACTAGTGTCCCGGTGCATGGATTCGTGCACATTGAAAGGAAATTAATTAGAAGAAATAGTTTAATATTGCTATTTGCCCTTTCTCTATAATAGAAGTGTCAACCAAATTCACCATCAACAATGACAGATCAACACACACACATGAGACTGGTGCGAGAGCTTTATATGTATCGTGCATGCATGAGTCAACTTAGCCTTTTATATATATAAATATTTATGAAACAACTGCTGGCTTTGTAATATTCTTTCAATTATGCAACATTTCAAACTTAGCTTTATTGAAGTCTTTATAAAATTTGACATTAAAACAAGCATGGATTTTAAATACCTAAAGGCAAATTTATACAAGATACACACATATAAAACCAGAGTTCACAACATCTTTACTCCCTCTAGAACCAACTGGGTGATTTTGCACCCCCAGGAGACACTTGTTTGTCCCCAAACCAAAGTCTGGAGACATTTTTGGTTTTCACAACTGGACATTGGGGAAGTGTGCTACTGGCACCTAGTGGTCAAATGTTCTATAATACACAAGACAGTCCTCTACAATGAAGAATCATTTTGGCCCAAAATGTCAAGCCACATTAATCAAATCCTAACTAAGACCAAGTACATTACCCAACTTATAGAGCAAGTAAGTTCTGACCAGTGAAGAGTCTACAAAAAGACTATTAACAATAGAAAATCACTTCCTATTTCCCACCTACTTGACTGAAGAGACACAAAAAGGAAAGGGAAAAGTTAACCCTTTAAATGGTTCAGCACCTTTTCCCTTCCTGAAGTTTCACTTTGAAAACTAAAAATATTCAACATTTACAAAGATTTGTAAGTAAAGGAAAATGGCAGGCATTCCTAAGTGATACAAAACGTGTCCACCAATCAAACTTCAAATCCTGTTATTCTCATTAAATAATCCCCAACAAGTTGAGAAAAAAATGGTGGTCCTTAAACCCCTGGTTTTTTGTGTGAAACAGAATAAAATAGTTCAAGATAATCGTAATATACTAATATACTTTGAAGAAAATTCTCAAAAAATCTGCTCCTTTGTGTTCCTGTTCAGGATACGTACCCCTCCCCCTGTGCCTTCCCTTCCCATTTGATCTACTCTAGTCAAGGCCCAGGCTCAAATTCAGTTCCATACTAACCTCACTCTTTTCCAACTTTTACACTCTGGCATATCAACAAAACTAAAAGCTTGTTAAAGGGAAAGAAAAGGTTTACACTGAACTACATGTCTTCAGAATTTACAGCATCTAATATGGAACTGATGGTTCCTAGAATCTATTTTCTGGCTATACCTATTACATAGCAGGAATATTTAACTCTTCCCAGGAAAAGAAATGAAAAAACAAAAAAACCTAAAATGTTACCTCCTCTTCACTTTCTTTATCTTCATCCTCTGAAGACTCTTCTTTGTTTTTCTTTTCCTCTTCATCACTGCTAGATTCATCTGACAGAATCTCAGGACATTTGGTTCGCTTTGCTTTCCTTGCCATTCCAGAACTGTTCCGTTCCTTTTTGTTGCCTTTGCTAGAAGTTTTTTTAGATTTTGGCAATGGCTGCATAAAATAAAATAAACACCAATGAGGTATTTCCAAGTCAATCAACTATTTCTGAGACCTACTTCTCAACTCAATTCTTGTTTGTCTCAAGGTATTATTTCCAAGCTTCGCAGCTTTAGAGAATAATTTATCTTGAACAATGTGTCAAATTAATCTTTTTTTTTTCTGAACTACCAATACCTTTTCATTTGTATTCTAAACACCTAGGCAAGAGACTCTTCACAAATGTTTAAATACGCATTCTATGTTCTGACATGGGACTAGAAGCCCAAGTACACACCATGTTAAGTTCAAACGGTTATTTACACTTTATCAAGATAATACTTTGAATCAGACTTATAATTTACTAGTATTTCATTCCTATAAACATCAGCTGCTGTCAGAGAAGCTTCCTGTTTTAGGGGACCCTCCAATGAAAGGACTGGGAAGAATCATCCATGAATTAAATGAAATTTCACTTTATACACCCTGAATTTATGAACTGTGTAGTTTATATTCATATTGCCTCTGGGCTCTACTTTCAATAACGTCAGGATTATATTCTCACATGATTGTAAATATGTAGTAAGTACTGAACATGCTGATAAATTAAGAACCACAAAATCAGTATATTGCTCTTACTTTGATATTCAATTAAAGCACACACATTTAAAATGAAAAGATCATGTGAAGAAAAGTATTATATTAAACAACAAATTTAACTTTTAAGTGCTTTCTTAGGGGAGAATTTGCTAACTTCTAAAATTGAAAACCATAAATAACCCTGCAAAAGGATCTGAAAAGATAAACTTATTTATCTTTTAAAAATTACTTATTTCTGAAAATTATGGGTATCTTTTGTTTTTATTTTTGTCTGTTATTTTCTGCAATAAACAGAAACATTAAGAAAAATTCCATATAACCTTAAGATACATAATTGTATAAATGTTAGTGATAACTTTAGGCAGTATTTTTTTATGAAACTAGCAGACCCTCACAGCTCCCTTCTCTCCCAGTAACTGCCAGTCTTAGGGGTCACTTTCACCTGCACAGAATTTTTTAAAAAGTGGCTACTTATGTAACTTAGTGTTTTCAGGGAATCTACAATGTACAGAATAGCCTCTAACTTGATCAAAGAACCTACCCTTCAAAAAGCAGACGGGGAAGCAGCCAATCTAGGTCATTCCAGAATTTTAAGTTAGTGAACCAAATTTATTTGTCAGAGGAGTTCTCTATAAGAAAATTCCTTGAATGAATACAGATATCCTTGTTATGTGAACTCTTACCATTACCAGGAAACAAATCCATTTAGATAAATTCTCTGATTCTTTGTCTGGAGAAAAGATAACTGTCTAAACTCTCACTACTCGCTATCTGAAATCCAGAACTCAAGTATAATAGGAAAATATTACTTCCTCAACTCAGGAATCAGATGCAGGTAGTGAGATTATAATATGTACATGGAATTAGTAATATGAGGATTGGAATGGGTACTGAATAAACCTATACAGGGAAATGAAAAATTTAACTTGAATGTTAAATCATTCAAGTAACCAAGCAAGAAAATGCAACTTCCAAAAATAAGATTTTAATTAAAAAAATAGTAATAATAAATGCTTTAGAACTTTCCTATATTAGTTTTAAAATTAGTTGAATCTATTAATCAAAATCCAGTGTTGCCCTAGCCAGTTTGACTCAGTGGATAGAGTATGAGGCTCTTTGACTGAAGAGTCATGGGTTTGATTCCAGTCAAGGGCAAGTACCTTGATTGCAGGCTGGATCCTTGGCCCTAGCTGGGGCACGTTGGGAGGTAACCAATGAGATGTGTCTCTCTCTTTCTCTCTCTCAAAAACAACCAAACAAAAAAACCCAGTGTCAATGGCATCATCCCTTTTTGTAAACAAAATCTGATTAACAACTAATTACGGTAGCTATACAAAAGAACAATATTAAGATTATTATAGGAGACAAAATTAGTACTAATGAATTTATAGTGTTTTTCTTAAAAGTGTATGGTAGCATAGAAAATAGCTTAAGATACCATTAAATTGAGCAGTAATCAGAATCAAATAAGAAAAATGAATGTAAGAGTTAGTTTCCATAAGGAAGGATAAAACATAAGGAAGTGCTTCTCAAAAGTGTGGTTCGTGGACCCTGGGGTTTCCTGAGAACTTTTCAGAAGCCTACAGGTCAAAACTATTTTCATAATACCAAGACATTAATTAGCTCTTTCACGGATTATGGAAAAGCCAAGGTAAAACAGCAGTCATCTTAGTACTTAATCAAGCAGAGGCAGCAAACTGCTAGTCATATTCCTCATAACCACACACTAGCAGGAGGGAAAAGGTGTTTCATTGAAAAATGTCTCTGATGAAGCAGTAAATATTAATTGTATTTACTCTAAACTTTTTGAGTATATGTTTTTAGAATATCTGTGTAATGAAATGGGAGGTACAACAGAGTAACTCTGGCTACAAGTTGAAGTTTGCTGGTTTTCTCAAGAAATACACTTGCATATTGAATTGTGACCTAAGCTAGCTACCTTTTTTCATGGACCACCATTTTTAAAAGAATAATTTAAAAGGAGAGGCTATAAATAATTGATTTGTTACTAAAATAATAAAAATTGGTCCTCACTTTGCCAGAAGGCTTTGGATGCATTAAGAAATTCAAGATCCTCTTCACCAGTTCACTATTTACACCTGATCTCTCCAAATCAAGAACCTCACAGATGCTTTTTAACATGGCATTTCTAAATCTGAAAAAGAAAATAAAAGAAACCAAGGTGATTATGTAGGAAAGTTTATAAACATCTCCATAATATAAATGCAATAGCTAAACAAACTGGCTAGGCTACAAACATTTAAAAAGTAGCCAACGTTTCTCTAAATCTTAGAAGTACTCCTAATAATCTTTGATTAGTATACAAACACAACCAGATTAGAGTATAAAAATTGAAAACACCATTTACCAATTCTAAATATAGTAAAACAATACCTAAGTTAATTCATTAGAAAATAATGTAAAAAGTTTTCAATACTATAAAATTCATGGACTTGATCATTCTTCTGGCTGCTGATTGTGACTAAATATTACATTTCCCCCTCAGCATTCCTACTATAATGTTTCAAGGAAGGGATACATAATAAAAGAATTCCTTTTTTTAATGCCAGAATTTTATAATTTTATTAACACAAATACAATATGTATATAATGTTTATTCATTTTCTTTAAATATATTTATTGATTTTAGAGAGGAAAGGAGAAGAAGAGAGAAACATCAATGAGAGAGAATCATTGATCGGCTGCTTCCTGCACGTCCCCAACTGGGGATTGAGCCTGCAATCCAGGCATGTGCCCTTGGCCAGAATCGAACCTGGGACCCTTTAGTCCGCAGGCTAATGCTCTATCCATTGAGCCAAGCCAGCTAGGGCTGTTTATTCATTTTCTTCACTGTGCAACTTGGCATTGGAATTGGTGGCTCTGATGGCCAGCTGGGCTGCTCTTTCCACAACGGCTTTGACGTTCTTTGAGGAGATTCTGTGAGCAATTTCAGCACTATAAGATCTGTTGCACATCAGCAGCACTTCAAGCTCCTTGACATTGTGGACCAAAGTCTTCTGAAAGACACTGGGAAGCATGTGCTCTGTTTTCTTGTTGCTCCCATAACCAATATTGGGCATCAAGATCTGGCCCTTGGATCTTTTGCACATCCTATTGTCAATGCCTCTGAGTTTCCGTCAGTTACACTTAATTTTGACATATTGGTCTGACTGGTGCCGGATGAACTTCTTTTTGATAATCTTTGGTTTCCTGAGAGGTCTGGAGACAGCCAAGGATGCCAAGTAGGAGATGGCTGCCACCTCCATAGGCAATACCGAGGAAGAAGATTAGAGTTCTTAAACTACAGGGAATTTAATAAACAAAAACTCTAATATATCATCTTGTTTGCATTATGGTGAAAGACACTGTTTCTATCAAAGTGATTATCTTCAAAACAACTTAGTACCTATAAGTGGAGGAACAGAGTGGCTAACAGAACAGGAGAGAAAAGTTTTCACTATATTCCCTTTAGATCTTCTGAAATTTCAACTGTGAATGATTTGCCTGTGTATATCGTTCTTCCAAGAAATAAAGACATCTTTGCATTTTCAATAATCTTGATAGCCATTATTTATTGAAAACTAATGAAGATCCCAAGTTAATGGTTAAGTTGACAAGTCAGATCTAGGCATTTAAAGCAAAGAATTAGCAATCTACATATGGGTGGTCACATTAAATATTTAAAAATAAAATTTAAAGCACAGTGATCAGCCCAGCCAGTGTGAGTCAGTGGTTAAGCAGTGACCTATGAATCAGGAGGTTTGATTGCCGGTCAGGGCATATGCCTGGGTTGTGGACTCAGTCCCCAGTGTGAGGTGTGCAGAAGGCAGCTGAGGTCAATGATTCTCTCTAATCCTTGATGTTTCTCTCTCTCTTCTCCTCTCCCTTCCTCTCTGAAATCAATAAAAACATATTTAAAAAAAAACCACATTGATCAAAACATGATATTTATAAAAATAACTTACTTTTTCAACATTTCTTCCTTCTTTTTATATTGGGTACTTCCTTTTTCAAATGGAAAGCCACTGAACTGACCCACATTCTTCTTTAATGAGGAAACCTGAAAATGTTTCTTATTATTAATACTACTTATTACCCAGTAATGTACACAAGAATAAATTCAAGCCAGCATCTTTATTTTCACGTATGTCTCTAACCTACAATACTGGTTTATGCAAAATTTCTTATTCACAATTGAAAACGATACTTATTACTAAAATATTATTTTATATATATATAATTATTAAAGTTTATTTTTATTACTGACAGTATTTCAGATGTCCCCTATTTTCCCCCCTTTACTCCCCACCATCCAGACCCCACCCCACTCCAGGCCTTCACCACACTACTGTGTCTATGAGCTATGCATATAAGTTCTTTGGTTAAGCCATTCTCTTTCCTCCCACAACTTCCTTCCCTCTGATATCTATCAACCTGTTCCATGCATTCATGTCTCTGGACCTATTTTGTTCATCAGTTTACTTTGTTCATTAGATTTCACATGTAAGTGAGATCATGTGATATTTGTCTTTGACTGGCTTATTTAGCTTAGCATAATAATCTCCAGGTCCATAATAAAAGGCTTACAAACATAATTTTTTGAAAATGAGAATCTGAATAAATTATCTAACCCTACAATTCAAAGAATTAGAAAGAGAGCAACAAGAAAAGCCTAGCATAAGCAGAAGGAAGGAAATAATAATGATCGGAGCGAAAATAAATGACATAGAGACCAAAAAAAAAAACAATACAAAAGATCCCAAGAGCTGGTTCTTTAAAAGGATAAACAAGATTGATGAACCCCTGGCCAGGCTCACCAAGATGCAAACAGAGAGTACCCAAATAAACAAAATCAGAAATGAAAGAGGTAAAGTAACAACCGATCCCACAGAAATACAAATGATTATGAAAAAATACTATGAACAACTCTATTTCAACAAAATGGAGAATCTAGATGAAATGGACATATTCTTAGAAAACTAGAAGCTTCCAAAACTCAATCAGGAAGAATAAAAAAACCTGAATAGGCTGATAACTACCAAAAATTGAAGCAGCGATCAAAAATCTTCCTGCAAACAAAAGCCCTGGTCTGGATGACTTTACAGGGGAGCTCTACCAAGCAATCAAAGAACTAAAACCTATCTTCCTCAGACTATTCCAAAAAATTCAAGAGGAAGCCAGCATTACCCTAATCCCAAAACCAGATAAAGACACCACAAAAAAAAAGATAACTACAGGCCAATATCCTTGAGGAACATAGATGCTAAAATCTTCAACAAAATTATATCAAATCAGATTCAGCATTACATTAGAAAGATCATACACCATGACCAAGTGGGATTTATTCTGGGGATGCAAGGATGGTACAATATCCGCAAATCAATAAATGTGATACATCACATAAGCAAATTAAGAGATAAAAATCACATCATTATCAATCAATGCAGAAAAAGCATTTGACAAAATCCAACACCCTTTCTTGATAAAAACCTTCAGCAAAGTGGGGATAAAGGGATCATACCTCAACATAATAAAAGCCTTATATGACAAACCTATAGCCAACATCATACTAAATGGGCAGAAACTAAACTCATTTCCCCTGAGAATGGGAATAAGACAGGGATGCTCACTTTCACCACTCCTGTTTGATATAGTACTGGAAGTGCTACCCATAGCGATCAGATAAGAAGAAGAAATAAAAGGCATCTAAACTGGAAAAGAAGAAGTAAAACTGTCCTTATTCACAGATGACATGATACTATACATAGAAAACCCCAAAGACTCCATCAAAAAACTACTAGACCTAATAAATAAATTCGGCAATGTAGCAGGATACAAAATTAACACCCAGAAATCTATGGCCTTTTTATACAACAATAATGAACTCACAGAAAGAGAAATAACAAAAAAAAACCAATCTCATTTACCATTGCACCAAAAAAATTAAGATACGTAGGAATAAACTTAACTAAGGAGGTAAAAAACATGTACTCGGAAAACTATAGGACATTGAAAAAAGAGATAGAGGAAGACATAAACAAATGGAAGAACATACCATGTTCATGGATTGGTAGAATAAACATCATTAAAATGTCCATACTACCCAAAGTATTCTATAGATTCAATGCAAACCCCATTAAAATACCAACGGCTTATTTCAAAGATCTAGAACAAACTCTCCAAAAATTTATCTGGAATAAAAAAGACCCTGAATAGCCACAGCAATCCTGAGAAAGAAGAACAAAGTTGGAGGGATCACAATACCAGATATCAAGCTGTATTACAAAGCCACAGTTCTCAAAACTGCCTGGTATTGGCACAAGAACAGACATATAGACCAATGGAACAGAACAGAGAACCCAGAAATCGACCCAAGCCATTATGCTCAATTAATATTTGACAAAGGAGACAAGAGCATACAATGGAGTCAAGACAGTCTCTTCAATAAATGGTGCTAGAAAATTTGGTCTGATACATGCAAAAAACTGAAACTAGATTGCCGACTTACACCATACACAAAAACAAACTCAAAATGGCTAAAGGACTTAAATGTAAGATGGGAAACCATAAAAATACTACAAGACTCCATAGTCAGCAAAATAGCAAACATATGTCGTAGCAATATCTTTACAGACACAGCTCCTAGGGCAATGGAGATTAAGGAGAAAATAAACAAATGGGACTACATCAAAATAAAAAGCTTCTGCACAGCAAAAGAAACCATCAATAAAACAACAAGAAAGCCCACTGCATGGGAGAACATATTTGCCAATGTTATCTCCAATAAAGGTTTAATCTCCAAAATTTACAGAGAACTCATACTACTTTAAAAAAGGAAGATAAACGATCCAATAAAAAAAATGGGCAGAGGATCTCAATAGACACTTTTCGAAAGATGACATAAAGAAGGCCAAGGGACATATGAAAACATGCTCAAAGTCACTAATCATCTGAGAGATGCAAATCAAAACAACAAGATACCATCTCACATCTGTCAGAATGGCGATCATCAACAAATCAACAAATGACAAGTGCTGGCAAGGATGCGGAGAAAAAGGAACTCCCATACACTGCTGGTGGGAATGCAGACTGGTGCAGCCACTGTGGAAGACAGTATGGAGTTTCCTCAAAAGGTTTAAAATGGAACTCCATTTGACCCAGTAATCCCACTTCTAGGACTATATCCCAAGAAATCAGAAATACCAATCAGAAAGGATATATGCACCCCTATGTTCACAGCAGCACAATTTACAATAGCTAAGATTTGGAAACAGCCTAAGTGGCCATCAGCAGATGAGTGAATTAAAAAACAATGGTACATCTACACAATGGAGTTATAAGAAAGAAGCAACTTTTACCATTTGCAACAGCACGGATGGAACTGGAGAGCATTATGCTAAGCAAAATAAGCTAGTCAGAGAAAGATAAATATCACATGATCTCACTCATATGTGGGATATAATGATCAACCTAATTTGATGAACAAGAACAGATCCAGAGACAAATGGCGGGGGGGGGGGGGGGGGGGGGTTGTTAGAGAGCAACCAAAGGACTTATAAACATGCATATTAGCATAACACCTGGACACAGATACTGGGGCGGTGGGGGCTTGCCCTGGGTGGGAATGGCTGTGGGGGGTCAATTGGGGAAAAGGGAGACATATGTAAAACTTCAGACAATAAAAAAAATATATACATATATATATGCTTGGACAAATAACAAAAGGAATCCATACAGACCAAAAAAACAAAAATAAAAAGGGAAACTGTGGATAAGGGAGGATTACTGTATATGCTCCCTGCCTATCAGTCACTTAGTAGTTGGCTCAGATGGACGGTGGTGTTATCTCAGTGCTTGCATTCAAGTAATCCTTATTTACTAACTAGAGGCCCAGTGCATGACATTCGAGGGGGAGTTAGGGGAGAGGTCCCCTCAGCCCGGCCTGTGCCCTCTCACAGTCTGGAACCCCTTGGCAGATGTCCGCCTGCCAGTTTAGGGCCGCTCCTGCAACTGCCGGGAGTTCAACTGCTTGCTATGACGTGTGCTGACCACCAGGGGGCGGCGCCGAATGAAGGAAGGCCCCAGCCGGCAGCCAGGGGAAGGCAGGCCCCCACCTGCAGCCGGGGGAAAGGAAGGCCTCAATTGGCCCCGATCGCCGGCCAGGCCTAGGGACCCTACCCGTGCAAGAATTTCATACACTGGGCCTCTGGTATTGTTATAATTGTTCTATTTCATTATTGCTTAGGGTTAATCTCTTACTGTGTGTAATTTAGAAATTAAACTTTATCATAGGTTTATATGCATAAGCCCAATACTATCCTTGTTTTCAAGCATTACTGGGGGTCTTGGAACAAGTTGCCAACCGGTGGTCCATGGACCACTGGTGGACTGTGAAGTCCAAAAGGTTGGCGACCGCTGTCTTGGAATGTATCCCAATGCAGATAAGAGGTGACTACAGTAAAATAACTCAGTTAATGAAACACTGATTTTAACAAATCAACTGGCAAAGAATTACCAACTAATTTATCAGCTATTTGCTCAAAATGATATACAATTATACTGTTATTCTGGATGACTAAAAAAAAAAAAAATTTTCTTATACAATTTAAAAAAACCATTAAAATCATCACAATCTGACATTTCAGAATGGCATAAAAACAAGTTCATTAGAAAGAGCCCTGGATATTGCAATCCTAATTGCTAATATCCAGCTATGTATCCCGTGATAAGTCATTTAGAAAATATGTGTCTCAGTTTGTTCACTTGTATGGTATGGAAATTGAACTAGCTGACTGCTAAAAGTCCTTTCTAGGACTAAAATTTGCTTCTATTGTGAAGTATTTTAAATACATAAATATGCTACTAGGTTAAAGGTATAAAAAAGGTCTTACTGTGCCTGGTCTGTTATAAAGTAGTTTATGTAGATTTCTAAGTTCATCTGTTTTCTTCTTACTCAGAAAAAAATGTATCCTTTCAATTTCACACAGTTTCTGCCCCTTTCCTAGAAAAAAAATACCATAATAATTAAAGTTAAATACCATTGTGTTAATACACTTGCAAACTTAATGAAAATTATTTTTATAACATAATTTACATAACTTTCGCTTTAATACGGCAAACTAAATAAAATAATACCAATAATATATTACTACTTAGTAAATACTAAAAACTAAGCACTGCTAATCATTATTTTTGTATATTTAGGCATTTTCATCATAAAATGAAAGAACACAGAATAAACTTACCTTGTGCAATTGTAAATGGCTCTCTTTGTAAAGAAGAGACTTGCATTGTCAACCTCTCTACTTTTTTCTTTTCCCTCTTGCCTTCCACGATGAGACTCTTTTCTAGAAATTAATTTAATACTTCTTAAATAACAAGTTTAAATATATTAACTTTATTATATAAATATGTAGGAAATAATCACAGAAACGTAATACCATACTCTTCTCCTTAACATGATTTTCGAGAATATAACATTAACAGAGATGAAAATACTTGATCAGTTAACAGCAACACCAAATTTTTTGAGTAACATTATATTTACCTGGAAACCTCACAGGGGATCCAATATTTAAAATATCAGAAAGGAAATTTATATCCAACTACAATTATTGCTATCAAAGTCCAGTCACTGTGAAAAATTGCCAAGATCCTCAGTTAGCCTATTCTTTAATTAGACATAATTCTATTAACTGAAATTCAGTTTACTATATCTCAGAAAACAGCTAGTTTAGACAAGATTATAAGAACTTAAAAGATATACAGAAAAGCAACAATTTAGTTGACTGACAGAAAAGAAAACAAAGGACCTTAAGACAAAGCAGCCTGGGGCAACTATGGATAGAGTAAAATTCTACAAGTTTACATTTACTGCAATCAAGTGGGAGGGCATTACTTTGAAGTTTAATAAATGATGTTCATAATTATGATCATAAATCATCCCAAAATGTTAAATTCTGTTTAGTCCAGATTGCCCTTTTTTTAAAAAAAAGGCTATATAGAACATATACTTTAAAACTTAAAACACTAAGCCGGCTTTTCTAAAACCACTTACCTACTGACTGAGATAAAGTCAGATAAATAAGAGGACCCCATACTATAACGTTGAAGATCCTTCCAATCATTGGACTGAATGCTTATTTTGTGCAAAGCTGCATTAGCTACGAGGGTTGAGTAGATGATTTTGATACTATCTTTTAGAAGATCATGTTTGGGGGAGAGAGGAAGGGGGAGAAGAAATAATGAGACACAAATATCATACTCAAAAGTAGATGATGACAGAACACTTTTAATGAAGACAGAGTTCTAAGAGTTGAGGAAAGAGTAATTATCTTTGGATTAGGAATCCAATGAGGATCAAAACATTGGAACTGTCTTTGAAGGACAGTTAAGATTTGGAGATGTAAGGATTTTGCACATAGAAGCATGGAATGACTGTCAAATCTCAGAGGAAAGTTGCGGGGGGGGGGGGGGGAGCGCTAGAAGGGACCAATGGGGGGAAAAGGGGACATATGTAATACTTTCAACAATAAAGATTTTAAAAAATAAAAAGGATTTGCACAGAAAGAATTAGGAAAAGGGATTCCAGCAGGTAAATTCTGGCGATGGTATACAGAAAAGCACTCAAAAAGCAACCCCTGTTATCACCCCACTTCCTTTCTTTGAGTGACTTAAACCATTAGGTTTGAGTTACTTGCCATGTATAAGCTAATAATTTTCCTGGTCTATCTCAAGTCCAGAGTTTTTCCCCAGCTTCAACAGGGCTGCCACTGGACAGCTCTACTTCATGTCCTATAGGCACCTAACTGAATGTATCCAAAACAGGTCATAATCATCTCCAAACTCAATCACCTTCATGAATTCTATTTTTCAGAAAATGGTAACATTATCCATCCAGCTGCCAAAGACAGAAATCTAGGAGTCATCTTTTACTAGGCATCCTCCCAAGCCCTGCCAAGAAAACTATTGCTAAAAGTCAATTAATCCCTTATTTGGTACAGACTTCATTGCCTTTCTTTTTTTATGCCTCAGTAGTATACTTAAATTTTCAGGGCTAAGTAGGATAAAAATGTCTGAAATTTTAGTTGTTCCATTAACACCCAAAATGAGGAATAATAAATCAGAACTACTTGGGAATATATATTTTAAAAATTTCATGTTGAAATTCATGATCTCTGTGGCACCCAAACCCTGTCTTTAAAAGAGACTAAAAACAAGCCCTAGCTGGTTTGGCTCAGAGCATTGGCCTGCGGACTGAAGGGTTCCGGGTTTGATTCTGGCCAAGGGTCCATGCCCGGGTGGCGGGCTCCATCTCCAGTTGGGGGCGTGCAGGAGGCAGCCTATCAATGATTCTCTTTCATCACTGATGTTTCAAATCTCTCTCTCCCCCTTTCCCTTCCTCTCTGAAATCAATAATATATACACTAAAAACAACAAAACTGGAGAAAAAAGTGCTGAGGAAAAATCTTGGACCAGTAGATATTACAGCCAATTCGGTTATGGTACTATGGGTAGTTAACAAAATAACATTTTTTTTTCTAAGCATTTTTGCACTTAAATGCGGACATGGCTCCCTTCGTAGAGCACTGACCCCTTTAAACAAACAAAAGGCACACCATTCTGTGTAATCTCAACCCGGACTGTATTTATAAAATGCTGAGCGCGGACTGACTGGTCTTGGCTTAACAGAAATGAGCAGTTTAGCCTGCTTTTTCAACACTTCACCTGCCTGTCTTCCGCAGGTGGCCGCGCGGTAGCCGCCCCCTAAACCGGGACCGGGCTAACCCCGTCTGCGAACGCCGAGATCTCCAACTCGGATCCCTCGCGGCCGGGCATTTCCCGGGCGCGCTTCCAAGAGGCGCTCCTCTTCTGCTCGGGATGCGCGGCTGCAGCGCCTCCCTCAGCTCCCTAAGTTCTCCGGGATCGCGCCTCCCGTCGCAGGGTTAACGGTGTTCTCCCGCAACACGAAACGCAGACAGCAGACTGCACCGGGCCCCTAGTCTACTTTCGTTCCCAGCTCACTGCTTTCGCCCGGGGCCACTTTCTCCGCCACCAGCGCTGCCCGCGAAGGGCCTCCCCGAGGCCTCCGCGGAAACTCAGCCAACAAGTTCACGATGTCCAGGACGAACCTTCAGCTCAGCGTGCCGCCTCCTGAAAGACTCGACAATAACCTCCAAAGGCAAAAGGTTAACACCAGACATCATCTTATTAACGTCCAAGGCCGAGCGCTTTCAAAGCGGATCTGAAACCTGCCAACTTCCCGTCAGAGGACAGACGCGCGACGGAAGCCCTCGGATGCTGGAGTCGGCGGCGCTCACAGCACTGACCATATGTCTTTCAAACACCGGGATTCGCCAAGCGAGTTCCCTGACGCTGCTCCACACAAAACCGGAGGCATTTCGCACTCTTGCCGAACACTCCAGCCGAGTGACTGCCTCCACGCGCGAAGAGCAAGAAACCCGCTTCCTGGAAAACCCACCGCTCACCTTTCTCTTCCTCCTCGTCCTCGTCCTCCTCCTCGTCTTCGTCCTCCTCCTCCTCTTCCTCACTTTCCTCTTTCGGGCCGGGGATTTCGGGCTCCTTCTCCGACGCGGGCGGGTCGGGGGTTCCCTCTCCCTCCGCCGCGGGGCCCGAGGAGGACATGCTGTCGGCCTGCAGGCGGGAGGACGCCGGCGTCTCGGTCTCCTCGCCCGCGGCGGGAAGACCGGGCGGCCCCAACCCCCTTACCCTCACCGCCCGGGGAGCGGGGGCCGCGGGACGCCCGCCCTCCCAGTTGCCCCCTCCGGGCGCCGGGACCGCGGTGCTCCCTCCCCCGGGACGTCCCTCCCACTCCGCCCGCGGGCCGGGAACCCCCGAGGCGGGAACCGCGGGGCTAGCCGCTCCTCCCCCGCCCCAGGCCGCTGTCCGAGAGGCCGCGGCGGACGGGCGGGCCCCACGGCGCCCTCTCGCCCCCCCCGCCCCGGTGCAGCCCTCACCGCGGGTCGCGGCCGCCGCGGGCCGGGCGCGCGTGGGCACAAGGGCGCTCTGGGAGGCGGTGGCGGGCGCGGAGGAGAGGACGCGCGGGACGCTGTCTGGCGTGACGCTCGCGCCGCGCTCCCCGCTCCCCAGAATCAACAAGATTTTCAAAATGGCGGTTCGGGCAAGAAAGCGGGAATGCGGCGGCCAATCAGGCCGCGGGCCGGGGCTGGCGCGCGCGCACGGGGGGCGGGGCCGGCGGCGCCTCCGCGGGAAACCCGGTGGCGGGCAGAGCGGGGCCGCGAGGGGTCGTCGGGCCGCGCGGGGAGGCGCGCGCTCTGGTCTCGCGCGGGGCTGCGTGCGGCCGGCAGGAGGCGGCCGGCCGGCGCTGGGCAGAGGGGCGCTAGGGGACTGCATGGGTTTCGTTTCCAGGCATGTTGTGGGGGGACAGGGGGAGGGGGCGCGGGAAGGAGGCGTGGCCACGGGCCGGGGAGGGGGAAGGAGGCGTGGCCACGGGCCGGGGAGGGGGAAGGAGGCGTGGCCGCGGGCCGCGGGCGCGAGAGAAGTTTGCAAACCGCGGCGTTGCTGTCTACAGTATTCCCGGGAATGGAGGGGAATCGCGAAACGAGCGCTCCCGGTGAGGTCTCAGCGTTCTTGCTGGGAACGGCTCCCGATTCCGCTATGTCTCCGGGGACCCCGCCGCCTGCGAGGTGCGCGGTAGGGAGGACGATCCGGTCGCGTTGGAAGTTCACGTCACGGAGACGAGTAGGTTTCCAGACCTGCAATTGTAGGGGGGATCGGGTGTCGATGATAATAGAGGAAAAGAGGCATTGCCCAGGCCACCTCCGCAGATCTTTTCAGCCCACATTTCAAAAGCTGAGCGCAGTATCGCTCTCCCTCAGATATTCTCCCTTTCTGTATGTGACTCCCTTCACCTTCCCCAACAACGAAGCCGCTGGCTGCCCAAAGGATCCTTTTACGCAGTAGACTTAACAGGAATATGATACATCCAAATACAAAAATAAATGTGCCTGAATGGACTCCGGATTGCGGCGCCAAAGTAGACATTTCTTTTGACTCTTCTCTTCCTTTTATGTCCCTACCACACACATAAGCAAAACCTGTCATTCCAACCTCAAATTTTATATCATTTCCCACTCCACTGATGCCATTCAAATCCGTCCTTTCTCTTCGTTTGCGTGGATTTCCACACAGCCTGCCACACGTTGGGCAGGTGGCATCCACATTGTCACCCCATCACCTCCTAGTCACATAGCAACCAGGGTGTGGTTTTAATCAGATTGGGTAGTCTTCTTGCTTAAAGCTCTCCCATGGCTTCCCATCACACTTGGAATAAAATTCAAATACAGTGGTTTATGAGGTCCTAAGTAATTCAGTTGCTGACAGTCTTGGTCTCATCTCTCCAACACAGTTGGCTGTTTCAGTCACACAACCTTCCTTCGTGTTTCTGCATAAAGCCAAGCTCATTCCTACACTTACTTTTTTCTGCTAGGACTGCTTTTCCCTCAGAAATTTCAGATGATTTATTGCATTTTCACATCATTTAGCTCTATGCTCAAGTGCTTCTCCTTCCTCAATACCATCACTATTCCCTCCCCATTGTGTTTCATTCATTCATTTATTAATTGTAATATATCCTATCTAATAATAGAGAAACATGGTAATTAACCATAACTTCGCTACCCTTCCCATTGGCTAATCAGCGAGATATGCAAATTAACTGCCAGCCAAGATGGTGGCCGGCAGCCAGGCAGCTGAAGTGAACATGAACATGAGGCCTGCTTACTCCAGTGATGGAGGAAGTCAACAGTCCCCGCCTGCTGCAGCTCAACTCTGAGCTCTGGATGAAACAATGTTGCAATTATAGAACCTAAACAAACCCCAGAAACCTGCTTTCAGCCAGCGCGGCCTCAGAGTTTAGAGCGGCCAGTGATGGCAACAGAGTTTCAATTATAGAATCTAAATAAACCCACGTACCTACTTTCAGCCGGCAACGGCCTCAGAGCTGGAGCCTGCTCTCAGCTCCAGTGACAGCTATAGAAGGTAAATTAATCCCAGAATAAAAAAAAAGAAAGAAAAAAGGAGAGGCTGGGAGCTTCAGTTGCCCACCAGCCTGAAAACAGCCCTCAGCCCCTCATCCAGACTGGCCAGGCACCCCAGTGGGGACCCCCACCCTGAAGGGGGTATGACCAGCTGCAAACAGCCATCATCCCCTCATCCAGGCTGGCCAGGCACCCAAGCGATGCCCCCACCCTCATCTGGGACACCCTTCAGGGCAAACCAGCCGGCCCCCACCCGTGCACCAGGCCTCTATCCTATATAGTAAACGGGTAATATGGAAACTGACCCTAACAGCAGAAGGACTGGGAATGACTGGTCACTATGACACACACTGACCACCAGGGTGCAGACACTCAATGCAGAAGCTGCCCTCTGGTGGTCAGGGCTCTCTCACATGGGAGGAGCTCTGCTCAGCCACAAGCCAGGCTGATGGCTGCCAGTACAGTGGTGGTGGTGGGAGCCTCTCCTGCCTCCTCAGCAGTGCTAAGGATGTCCGACTGCAGTTTAGGCCTGCTCCCCGCTGGCAAGTGGACATCCCCCGAGGGCTGCCAGGCTGCCAGAGGGATGTCTGATTGCCATCTTAGGCCCAATCCCCTGGGGAGCGGGCCTCAGCCAGCAGGTGGTCATCCCCTGAGGGGTCCTAGACTGCGAGAGGGTACAGGCCAGGCTGAGGGACCCCCCATCCCCCCCCCCCCGAGTGCACAAATTTTTGTGCACCGGGCCTCTAGTATTAATATAAAATTTATTAATTTATTTTATACCATTTCCCACTCCACTTTCTGCACCTACTTTCTGCTCAGCCCTAGGGAGCTAGAGAGCAGGACTAAGGAATATCTTGTTAATAGATGACATATGAAAAGAGATCTTAAGTAAATGAGAGCAGTGAAGAAAGACTGGATATATTCTGAAGAATTCTGTAAAGTATTGAATATGGGGTATATGAGAGAGAAATTAATGATGACTTTGGATTTTGGGTTCAATAACCAGAAGAACCAAGTAGCTATTTTCTGAGATGAGCAAGACCTTAGGAGTTGGAAGGACATGGGAGGGGGGGTGTTGAGGGGGGAGGGGGAGTGTGTGATGAAGAAGGGGATCAGCTGTTTTGTTTAAATATGTAATGTCTGAGATTCCGGTTAACATCTAAATGGAGACTCAGAATAGGCAGCTGGATGCAAGAGTCTGGCATTCAGAGGAAGACGCTCTAGCTCAAGATATAAATTTAGCAGTTGTCAACATGTAGATGGTCTCTAAAACCCTGGGCCGGATGACATCACTAACAGTGAGTATTGGTATAGATGAGGAGAGGTTCAAGGTTGTACCTTGGTGCTCTTCAATGTTTAGAGGTTCAGGAGAGGAAGAGGAACCAGCAAAGGAGATAAGGAGCAGCTGTAGCCAGTGAAGTGGGAGGAAAATCAAGTGAACTGTTGTGTTTCAGAAGCCAAATGAACAAGTGTCTAAGAGGTAGAGGGTGGTTAACTGGGTCAGAAGCTGCTAAAAGGTCAGGTGAGAAGAGAACTGAGAATTGGCCATCTGAAATAACAATGATGAATTATATATAAGTGACAACAGCTATTTCTGTGGAGTGGTGAGTATGGCGGTGCCAGGAGTGGGGATATAGAGAGACAGGCAAGGAATGGATTCTGATGATCTTTTCAGAAATGTTGGTGTTCAGGGGAGCAGAGAAATGGGGCAGTTAGCTCAAAGGGAGTCTGGTGTTTAAGGAAGATACAATTGTATGTTTATGGGATGATGGGAATGAATCAGTAGAGGGGAAAATTGATGAAAGATGGAGGGGCAATAGCTGAACTGAGCGACCTACGGTAGATATGTCAAGTTGGGTTCTCTAAGCAGATGCTGAAGCAGAATTTGAGGAGCTAGAAATTTATTAGGGATCAGCACCTGTGAAACGAAGGGGGAAGGAAGCAGGATTGTACAGAGGGAGAAGTCCACCTGTGAATCAGATCTGACAAAGCCTCAGCCAGCCCTGTGGGGAGCTCTGGAGTGAGTATTCTTCTTCTGAGTGTTCTTCCTGGCTGGGCTTTTATATGCCAACCTTGCTCACTGCATGCGAGCTGTCCCAGGAAGGGCAAGACCTTAGGTGAAGAAACTCCACAGCTGTAGCAGCCCCTGAGGCTGCTGACTGCAGGCTCTGTAACTGGGCAGCAGGTCCTTCCTTTAAAGGGGGTTCTGGGTGGCACATTTCCATGTTTCCCACAGGAGAGGAGAGGTGACAGAATCTAGTGCACAAGTGGAAGAATTGTCCTTAGATGGAACGTGGACAGTTTCTAAACATGGAGGATATTTGTACCCACACTGGGTGGGCTTTGGCAGATGTAGTGGAAGTTTTAGAGGTTCATTAACTTTTTCAGTGAAGTCAGGAGCAAAATCATTTACAGTGAATGAGTGTGGGAGAGGACTGTTGCGAGTTTCAGGAGAAAGGACAGGTGAGCTGATTTGATAGGAGAATGGGGGATGGATGGATTAGGGAATGCAATATGGTTGCCAGGAAGCTGCAAGGAGGACCCAGTGGGAATAGTGACCATGAAGTCAAAGTGAGACCAGTTAGGATTCTTGTTTTTCTCCAGACATATTCAGCTACCCAGGAGTAGATGTGAAGATGGCAAAGGTTTGGGTTTAATCAGGTTAGGATTTTGCCAGGCAAGTATGAAGACAGGAGAGAAGCGTAAGTGAATTGTATATGGGCAGGACAATGAACATGATGGTGCATAGAATCTGAGTTGAGTAGGGAGGAAAGTAAAGACACTTAGTGAAAATGGGCAAGATCTTTATATCTTTGTTGCATTTGTCACTACCTGAAAATTTCATTGCCCCTCATCCAGGTAAAACAGTAAGTTCCTTAAAGCTTTAGGGACTCTGTCTCATTCATCATGGTATTCTCAGCACCTGAAGCAGTGCCAAACACATAGTAAGTGGTCAGTAAGTATTTGCCAAATGAATGCAAACCAATCTTATTAAACTCTTATTATGAAGATTCAGAATGGTTTTTGTTTAATGAAATGGTATATAAGGATAGGATGGGTTATTTCAGCAAAAGTTTATTTAACAGCAGTTCAACAATTTTGTTTAACAGCAAAGG